ATTACTCCTTCCAGTGGTATTTGTGTATTTAAGGAGGAGGAGCAAGAAGACCATGGAATGAATAGTTCTGGGTATTAGAAGGGTACTTTGCAGGGGCTGGGGAGAGCCTTCCTTCTATCTTTCATAAATTATGCTTATAGGCAACCACCATCCCTACCTATATTTGAGGATGGCTTATGAAAAAAATCAAAAGAAACTAAAAGGACAAAATCAGGCCATGAGGGATGGAGACCAAAGACTTTGGGGTTGGATCAAGAAAAGAGCAATTCTTTTATGAATTTTAACTCTTAAGTCATATTTCAGTTGTGATTCTAAATGATAAATCTATCACTTCACAGAAGGAAAGAAAAATAGCTGTTTTTTCTAAAGTTTCAAAGGTTTTATATGCTGGAAAAAAAAACATTCCATGAGAAAGGGATCTAGGATTAAGGCAAGTATCAAAGGTGATTAATGGACATCATCAATACCACCAAAATTCTATTTAAGTGAGTAAACTATCTTCTTACTAAAGTATTGGTTAGAATAAGTAATATAGCAAGAAAACTTGGATGAAACCATGACCTATGAAACAAAAAAAAAAGGTGGGGAGGGAAAAGGGGGTAAGGTAGCAACAACATAAAACTTGTAGATACCTAAAGGATATGGGTAACCTGAGGCAAGAAGAATTTCATATAATATCAAGGTCACAAAAAAAATCTGTTCATGATTAAGGGGAAAGTGGTATTCTTAGAGCTATTCCTGAAAGAGGTCTGTGTCATCACTGGCAGAAGTGACCAATTCTAGGCATCCTAGATCAGGGGAGTCAAACTCCAATGGAAACATAAGGATTCCTATTAGCAATACATACTGACTTAGAAAACCATATGTTGATATGTCCTACTGTAGTTTTATTTTATTAAATATTTCTCAGTTACATTTTAATCTGATTCCATTACTTAGTAATATTTGACATCTCCTTCTCAGATGAGTCAAAATATCTGTTGTCTGTGCTACCTTCTCCTCCAAGCCTCTTTCTTCATAATTCTGCCATTCGTCACATACCCAGAGCCCTCATAAAATCTAATATTTGGAACGTACCTGAGTTCAGCCTCCTTCCCAATGCAGGAATCCCTTCTATGATATCATTGACAGTCATGTAGGTTATGACTGAATACTTCCAGCTTAATACCTGATGAGGTGGCCTGCTCCACTGGGGGAAAATTTTCATCATTAGAAGGTTATTATTCTCAACTGAATCATCCCCCTTGTGATTTCTACTGATTGCTCCCAATTAAGGTCCCTAGAGCATCCCAGGAACTATAATGTTCCCCCACAACCACCTAAATTCTTCTCCTCTGCTGACTCAGTCCTGCCCCTTCAACCTCTCGTGTGGTATGATGTCCATACCCTTCACCATCTTAATCACTTCCCTCCAGATCAGGGGTTCCTAACTTGTATGTCATGGACCACTTTGGCAGTCTGATGAAGCCTATGTATGGTACCTTTTCACAGAATAATGTTTTTGAATAACTGAAGGAAATGTTAATTTTCAGTTAAAGGTTAGTGAAAATAAAGATATTTGTTTTTTCCATTCAAGTTCTTGGACCCCCTGAAATCTATCCAAAGACACTTGGAATCAATCCAAGGGCACTGAAATCTGTGGACCCCAAGTTAATAAGAACCCATGCTCTAGACAGCTCTAGTTTGACAATGTTCCCCTTTAAAATATTGTCATCCAAAAGTGTCCATAGTGCTCCAGGTACGTTCTAACCAACAGGAAGTCAGTTTGAAACATTAGCAAGGTCTCCTGTGTACTGTCTGCAATTATGAGATGAACATATTTTGTCTTGGGCTCTATCTATGGATCTTCTATTTCTTCACAGTCTCCCTACCCTTCAGTACTTCTAACTCATATCCCTTCCATATAGGTGGTCCAATATTCTTGTGTTCTTGACCTCCTTTGATCTGAACACTCCATTTTAATTAATGCTATTATGGAGGATGGGAGCAGAAACAGCCATTCGCAATAATAGAGGTTGACAGCAACTAACTCTGGCCAGACTATGGCTACACATAGTCATGGCATTTAAACAAAGGAGGCAAGGCAATCATTACTGGTATATCAAAGATACACTTCCTTCCAATTGTGTTGATTCACGTCCAGAATGAAAAGAGGGAAAGGAGTCAGGTAGGTTTTCAAAGCAATACAGTTGCAGTGGTTTAGGGTCCCTACTATGTATTTTTCTTCCTTGGTATGTCAGTATATTCTCCTGGGACATCACCCATTCTGGGGAGGGAATCACCTGTGTCTGTTAACTCCTGAGGACATCTCATACAACCTCAGAATATCAGAATTGGAAGAGCCTTCAGAGGCCTTCTAGTACAACCTGTACCCAAACAAAACCATCCTCTACCACATAACTGCAAAGTGATAGTGATCATTCAGCCTTTGCTTAAAATCTGGCAAAGTCATGTGGTCATGTTTCTTGAGAGTTTGGGCAGTCAACTGGGGCTTAATAAATTCTTATTTACTTGTTATGTCATTAGAATTAGGGAGTTTTAGTATGTGATAGTTCGCCTTCTGGTTCAGTCAAAGTCACAGACATTCTGAAAACAACATCTACTTTAAGGTTTACCAGAAAATGCTAGTAAGAGGAAAAAAACATAGCTTAACGATTCCATTAGCTTTCACAGCAGCCACATCACATTACTGGCTCATCACAAGTAATCAACTAAAATTTCCAGTTTTAGTTTTTACACCAACTACTATTCACCTGCTTAATTGATTTTTCTTAACTCTAGTGTAGAAATTTGTATTTAAACTTGCTCTATTTTCCTCTTCATCCACTAAAGTCCTCCTTCCTCATCACAGAATGGAGGGTAAACACTAGGCTTTTGACAGCTAAGCCATGGAGCATAAGTTCTGTCTGCCTCCACCTACCAAGTTGGAATGACCTTGAAGGATGGCCTGGTGGTATATCTGTTGTCTAAGGAACAGCCTAGCTAAGTTCAGAGAGACCCTTCACTAAGTTAGCAGGCAGGGAGATGACACTTTTGACCACAAGCAACTCTCCAAGACCATCTACTAAATTCCTAGAGGAGTTGCAATTTCTATCACTGGGAGAAATTCCCACAGTCATGAAAGCACAGATCCTTGAAGTATTCACATAAGATTTTCATCTTGCTCATTTCTGCCTATAGTTCTAGTCTGTAAATAGATAGATCTCTCTCTGGGTATAGGCCATTAGCTTTATTAACTTATCCCTCCCAACTTTGGGCAATCTAAAAATCTGATATCTGGTTACTGTTGGGGTTCCTTATTTCTCTAATACCTTTTCTTGCTCCCTCTCCAAATCTAGACCAATTTATTCTATGTCTCTTTTCTCTTAATCCTGTTTTCTTGAACAGGGAACAGCTACTAATCTGACAAAAATCTTAAGGGATTACATACTAGAGAGTATAGGTAACCCCCCACCAATATATATGTACACACACACATATATATATATATATATATATATCTCACACACCTTCTGGTCAACATGGGTATTTTAACAGATCCTGACTTCTGGAAAACAATACCTTAACTAAAGGGGATGACTTTAATTATCAAAATTTCAGGCACTGAGTCAGGGCAGTGAAGGAGCAAGAATTTGGGAGCCAACAAACTCTCAAATTACCCAAGGTAGGTGGCTGTCTGTCCTTATTCAGGCTTATAGGGTTCCAACTTTGACCACAAGATTTGCGGAATAAGTTCTGTCTAAAGAGGCTGAAGGAATAGGTCCAAGCTCTGAGAGACAGAAAGGATAATTAAGAGAGAGGAATACTCCTCAAAGAGAGATTTCTGAAGCAAGAGGTAACTCTAAAATCTTTTTTTTCTTTGTATATGGAGAGGTCATAATCCAAGGCTTTGTCATGTAAGGTAAGGAAGGATAGGAAGGGGAGGACCACACGTCATACATTTCAAAAAAAGAGAATGTAACATGAGTCATTCTTCCAGTGAGGCAGTTCTTGAAATCAAGAGGCAGTACAGTTTTAAGGATGAATCCACTAAAGTAGGAGAATGAAAAGGACCCTAAAGAAATGGAGAGGTGTGTCCATTACAACAAATAATACTTGACTACCACTCCTAATGAAAAATTCTGCTCCTGCAGGCTGATGAAAGTTTCAGAACAGGTAAGTGGTTCCAGCAGATATTTCTGGAATGTATTTGTGCTCTCAAAAGGCTCTCACTTCACATTTCGGGATGAGGTAAAATATTCGGCATGAAATCATATATTTGACACAGACAACAATCTTGTAAACCCAGTAACATAGTTCTCTGTGAGGGACTGTCTGATGTTGGCAGCTGCCAGTTGGGTGCTGTGGCATGGGTAAGGTAAGATCTGGGTATTTTGGAAGTCGAGGCAGGGACTGTGGTAGACAGAGTCATGTGTACTGGGATGGGCTGGATTCGGAAAAGCCATGAGGCAATTGGGCAGTGCTATGAGATAAGCTGGGTTCAAGGAAGTAGCCGAGCCTGAGCTCCTGAGGCAAGGGGCGGTGCCACGTGGGAGTGGGATGGCAGAGGACTGAGTTCCCTCTGCTTAGTCCCCTCCCTATATGCAACGTCATCCCCAGATGCCTCTTGTGACCTTCCTGACCTTGTGCAGCACTGACCCAGTCCCCTCCTGAGTCTGACTTCCTAGGTCACATACTCTTGTCTATGCGTCAATCCCAGATGCCTCCTTCCTGTATCCAATTCTGGCCTCCTACGTCACTCCCTCCCCCTTGGTGTGCTAAACTCAGACAGCCCCTTCCGGTATCTGACCCTACAATCATTGGCTAGTAGCGGGCTGGGGAGGAGGGGCTAAGTAGGTACTTAGGAACAAGCGTGGTCAGAACATACACGTGCGCTCTCCCCTGGCTCCTGCCTGTTGCTCTGGCCTTGCTGCTTGGGCTTGCTGTGATGGTTTGCTGTGTTGGCCTCTGAATAAAACTCTGGTGTTGGTGCCTCCTGATGGCTTGTCTCTGTGTGGTGATCCGGCTGAGGACCGAGGACCCAGGCATGGGTAAGACTCTGGCAGTGCTCTTCTTTTAAGAGAAGTGGGTACTGGCGCACGACTGGCAGAGGGCCAGCGTGCGGCCCGTATAGTTCTCAGTGTAATAAAAGATAGGAAATGAAGGTCCACAGGGGCAGAAAATTCAAACGTATTTCTTTGAGGAAAATCAGCAACCCAACCTCAGAGCCAATGAAATTCAGAGATGGTGGAAAGGTGAGTTGTCAAGTTCAGCTAAGTCAATGGTCCAAAAGGATTTAAGTCCAAAGAGAATTTGGATTGGTTATTTGTGATGCATTCCTACTGAAAGTTGGTGTTTCAAGAGGCAAGGTATGTAACCTTCTGTATCCTAAAAAGGTACAAGTAGCTTTGTACTTTAGAGAGACAACTTGGCAATCGGTCTAACTGAGAAAAACGTCTCAAAGAGACACCGTGGTCTTCAGAAGAAAGAACAGGTACAAATTTAAAGATTCTTAATGGAGAGAATTGGACGAATGGATTCAAATAATGAAAGTACCCAAAGGAGAATTGGAGAGTGAAAGTTTTCAGGAATATAGAATACCTTCCAAAGGCCCAAGAAATGAATAATTCTTTCAGGTGATGAATTGGAAACATTTATTCTGCTATTGGCGGGAGAGACAAATGAGACCAAAAGTATTTCAAAAAGAGATAGGTCTAATGTTTTTCAGAAGGAAGAAAGAAGAAATATGGCACAATAAGGACAAGATTGAATCTAAATAATGAGACCATTTAGAGGAGTCTAGATTATAAGCTTCCAAGATTCTAGAGATTGGACTAAAAAAGTGAAACAAATGCAAACCAAATGAAAGAGGTAGGTGTGTATGTCTTTCAGGAAGAGAAGGATATAATGATTTTTTTTTTAAAGGAAGAGGCAAGGACTGAAAGGAAGAAAGAAGGAAATAAGCATTTATTAAGCTCCTATTATATGTCAGGCACTGTGCTAAGTGCTTTACCAATATCTCATTTGATCCTCACAACAACCCTAAGAGATAGGTGCTATTATCCTTATTTCATAGTTGAGGAAACTGAGGCAGATAGTAATTTGCCTAAGGTCATATAGCTTGTGTGTGTGTGTATATGTATATGTGTGTGTGTGTATGTATGTGTACATATGTGGGTATGCATATATGTGTGTATGTGTATTGTGTATATGTGTATTATGTATATGTGTGTATATATATATATATATGTGTGTGTATACACATGCACATACACAGACGACAATCTTGTAAACCCAGTAACATAGTTCTCAGTGTGATAAAAGGTAGGAAATGAAGGTCCACAGGGGCAGAAAATTCAAACGTATTTCTTTGAGGAAAATCAGCAACCCAACCTCAGAGCCAATGAAATTCAGAGATGGTGGAAAGGTGAATTGTCAAGTTCAGCTAAGTCACATACACAGTATATGTGCATCTGAAGTTGGATTTGAACTCGAGTCTTCCTGACTTGAGGCCCAGAGCTCTGTCCACTGAGCAACCTAGCTGCCCCTGATTGGAGGCTCTCACCGCTGCATCACTCAACTAGATTGGAGATGAGAAAATTACCTAGTGCTTCAAGGTTAGCAAAGTACTTCGTGTACATTTTTCTCGTTTGACTTTTCACTACCTCATTGTAGAGGGAAGCTGGGTAGGGACTGTTGGCATTATCCCCCTTTTATAGACGAGGATATTAAGGTTCAGAAATTAAGCCACTTGTTCAAAAAGATATACGAGGATTCATAGTTCATAGAACAAGAGCTTTGGAAGGGACTTCAGAGGCCATTTAGCAGAACCCACTCATCTTACAGATGACGAAACATGCCAAGGAGAAGGGAAAGTTGGCTTTCCCTAAGTCAAAGTAAGCATCAAACACAAGATGTGAGCCTAAGTTCTCTGACTCAAAAACTGGTGCTTTTCCCCTTGAACACACTGCAAACTCAAGTCTGCTTTGACTCCAGTGTTAGCATTTTTTTTCCTCACTAGACCATACTTTCTGAGAAGGCAAGAAGAAAACTTTTTTTGATTAAAAATGGAGTAAATCCTACGCCCTCTATACAAGCACGGAAGTTGAGGTAAGCTTTCAGAGTTTGTTTGGATTGCTTTTGGTTTTTTGTTTTAATGTTAGATGTCCACCAGAATAAAATGCAGAAGTACTACTATTATGTCTAGACAGACAAAATACTATCAAGTTGGTGGAAGCGAAAACATTTTCTTGGGAAGTGGTAACCTTCAAGAAGAAAATGAAAAGGCATCAGTGAGCACATCCACATCCGAAAAGAAAAGGCAATTACTGATCTTCCTCTGGAAGAAAGAGTAGAAGGTAGGTGATAAAAAAAATTTTAGGAAATGACCATTTTAAAGTAAAAGGAAATTTATTTTTAATCTATTTCTCGACTTACCCCAACATTATTTCTGTTCACTTAAACAATTTACGAGGTGATGTTTTCTTTTTCTTTCAGATTAAATGCAACATTTTTAGCAAAAAAAAAAAAAAACAGTCCTTCTGCAATTAATACAAGATCCTTTCATCTCTATCTTCTCCAAATGAAATTTCAAGAACTAAAAAGACATATTCCCAAGATACTCCTGACTCTTTCCTTCTCACATCTGTTCAGGGCTTTTGTTATCAACACCTAAGGGGCACAACAGAAAATCACAGCCATTTCAGCATGTCCTTACAGGCCTCTACACCAAGAAACTAAGAGATGAGAAGAAATAAACACAAATACTTTGAGTAGTACAAGCACAAAGCACACAATAAAGAACTCGCACCATCTCAAATACGGTTGTTTTCAGATGATTCTGTCATTTTGAATGAAGTTCTGAGAAACGTACTCTCCGACATCACTGGGGAAAGCCTGGGGGGAAGGGGGGAAGAAGAAAGAAGGGAAATGTGGCACAAGGATCTTTTTCTTACCATTAAGGTCTTAGAAAGGTTCCCATCAAATTTATTTTTGTCTTTGGCTGCATTTAGTAGTGTTAGCTGAACATATCAGAGGTTGTTAATAGTATAGTATTGCCAATAGCATTTGTTCTTTACAAAATTCACAGAATTGACCCTGGGGTAATTAGAATTTAGTCTAAAGCTTGTCTAATGACCATAATTCATTATCACTTGGAATGTCTTTCCATTTTTAAAGAATAAGTTGATTATACTATTCCAAATAAATGACATCCTATTCCCCTTAAGTCTGAGACTACACTGTTTGGGTGGATGAAGAGAAACATTTTAGAGTAATTAAAATCCTGAATCATCTGATGGTTTCATTAGTTCCTGTAATTCTTGGGTGCTAGCTTATGTGTTGCAAGGGAAAAAAATCAAAGGAAAAACAAAATACTTGTGTTTCCTTGGTTATGTTCTAACAGGATCAGAGTATCTTTTAAGGGGGTTACAAATTTAAAAAAATAATAATACTAATTATTCGCCTATCCTTTCCCTTTTCCTTTTCTATCTCTGTTCCTTTTCATTTGGCATCTTTTAGTCACTTCTCTGAACCTCAGTACTAAAAGATTCTGTCGCAACATCCCTGTATCTGAAGCGCAACATATACAGCTCCACCTGTCCCCTTAACACATATAAATACATACAAGAGACTAATTCCACACTATTCTTCAAAATTCACTTTAATCTCATCCATGAATTTAATCATTCAACTAACATTCCTTGGATTTATCAACTACAAATAGGTGAAATGAAAAAAGTGTCACAGGGCAGGTTGGTGGCTCAGTGTGGATAGAGCACTGGCTCTGAAGTCAGGAGGACCTGAGTTCAAATCTGGTCTCAGATTAAACACTTGACACTTATTAGCTGTGTGACCCTGGGCAAGTCACTTAACCCCAAATTGCCTAAAAAATAAAAAAAATAATCTATAGTTTAAAAAAGGGGCAACTAGGTTATGTAGTGGCTAGAGCTCTGGCCTTGGAGTCAGGAGGACCTGAATTCAAATCCAACCTCTGACACTTGCAAGTCACTTAACCCTAATTGCCTCACACACACAAAAAAAAGTATCACACCAAAAAAAATCTCAGTTTTTGCAGGATTGCTTTAAGGTAGGAATTCTTAAATTGAGGTCCATGAACTTAAAAAAAAATTTTGATAGCCATTTCAATATAATTGGTTTCCCTTGTAATCCTGTGTTTAAACATTATTCTGAGAAAGGCTCCACTGGCTACCCCAGAATACAGGGGTCCATGACTAGCACCTAGTTGGAGAACTGAGATACTGCTTTGTGGAATGGCAACATAACCTTGAATTGTTACTGGATCCTGAGAGGTTATTGAAAATCTTGAATGAAATTTATGTGAATATTTTCTTTGCTTTACCAAGTGATACTAAAACTTTATATTAATGTAACCTGTATTCCAACATTCTAGGCTCTGGGCTTATGTAGTCACATAACTTTTCTCAGGCTCAGTTTCCTCATTTGTAAAATGGGGGTAATAATAGTACCTATCTCTGAGGATTATTGTGAATACCATATGACATAACATATATAAACCACTTTTACAAGACTTAAAGAGTTACATAAATATTAGCTATTTCTATCATTTCAGCTCTGGACTTACTTCATTGTTTCAAAGGAAAAGATTGAGTTACACTGATTTTGAGAAATTACAAGGCTGCTTTATTGACCCAAAGTTTCCCAAGAAAGCAATAAAACAAGCACTTACTGAACCCTACTATGTGCCAAGCACCATGCTAAGCTCTGAAGATACAAAAAAAAGGAGGGGGGGACATAAAATCAGTCCCTACTTTCAAACATCTCACCTTTTCAAAATTAATATTAGACTAGTGTTGTTATATAGCATTAAGATGTAGAATAATATGAATGCCTCTGCAGAACCAAAGATGCTATTACAGAGAGAGTCAGAACCACCAGGGAACCTCATTACCATGCTATGCCAATGAGTCTGTCCAGGCCCTTCATGGGAAGATTACAAAATTCCAAACCAACCCCATAAGCTCCTTAAGTTAATCAGGGAATTCTCTTGATTAACTTCCTACATTAAGTAAAAAAATAATCAATTTTTTAGGCAAAAGGAAATGCCTTGTTAATATATAATATGTCAACTTGTATCAGAGAATATTGTCAAAGAGGTAAATATATACATATATACACACTTATATACACATTTATACGTAGACATACACATACATAGACACATATTCTTTTATACACATGTATTCTTATATGTGTGTGTGTGTAAGTATGTATGTATAAAACCTGCTGAGTTTTTAAAAACTGGAAAATAAAACCCAACGGCAACCACCCTGGAAGTTACCCGATATAGTGTTATTTAATAACCAAGAGTTGTTAGTGCTTTGGATTCATTGGATGGAGCTAAAGAACAGCTGAAGTCAGTCAACAAACATGTATTAAGTACCTACTATGTGACAAGGAGGCAAAAGACAATCCCTGCCCTCCAATAGTTCACACTCTAATGAGGGAGACAAGAAGCAAACACATGTACTGAACAACAAAAACAAATATTTCTTGAGTTTACCTCATTAGGTGTTACCTTCTCTATACAAGGAAGGACTATGAAAATGAACTCTTTCAGATTTCCAAAATGTTTAATGATAATGGAATTTTGTTCTCTTAAATACGTTGCTAGAACTTACACTCCCAGTCCACAGAGACTGGAAACAGAGCTAAAATCCATCTTCTCTGCAGTGAATTAGCAATCAAAATAACTCCTTACCATGTAATTCAGGGAAAAGGCAGGAGGAATTCAATACCCCACCTGACCCCTTTGTTCCTCTGAACTCATACAGCTTTGGTTCTCGTGGGTGGCTAGTTAAAGGCAGAGGCAGAAATTGAAAACCTCATTTCCACTTGAATAGCACAAGGAAAAGGGCGACTGAGCAGAAGGGTGGCTTTCAAGTAAGGAAGACTTGGGTTCAAGTCCAGTTTCTGACAGATTAACTTAGGCATAGTGTTTCCAAGGTAAAGTTGAATCCTGGGTTTGAAATCAGAGGATCTGAAGTCTAACCTCAGCTCCATTACTTGCTACACATGTAGCTTCAGTTTCCTCATCTGTAAAATGAGAGTAGAATGATGCATCCCCATAAAGCCCTCCTAGCTCCAGGACTAAAATCCAATGGCCTTGTGATTATAAATTTAAAATGAGTCACCAATCTTTATCAGTGGAAGAGTTTTCCCACTGGAAATTCCCTACATTTTTGAAATCACTAGTCTGGATAAAACAAAACAAAAAGTAGAAGGAAAGGGAATGAATATCTAATTTCTCCTCCTCTTCTCTTCCTGGAATATAAATCAAATACAACTGAGTTATTTGATTGAGGCGAATAAATGCTACATGGAGAAGACCAAAGAAAGCACATGCTCCCTGTTATTCCTTATGAAGGACAGTGAGGTGGTGTAGGGGATAAGAGTGCTGGGCCTAGAGTTGGAAGACTCATCTTCATGAGTGCAAGTCTGGCCTCAGATACTTACTAGCTGTGTGACCCTGAGCAAGTCACTTAACCCTGTTGTCTCGGTTACCTCATCTGTAAAATGAGATGGAGAAGGAAATGGCAAATCATTCCAGTAGCTTTGGCAAGAAAACCCCAAATGGGGTCATAAAGTGTCATACATGACTGAAAATGACTGAAAAACAAAATTACTTATTAAAAATTCATTATAACCAGATCAACAAAATACTGTTTCAATAGACCGGTGAGATCAAACTCAAATAGAAATAAAAGACCACTAAACCACTATATAAGGATCCCTGTGACCTCATATTGACTTAGAAAATCACATATTAGCATTAGCCATATTCTAATATATTTTTTATTTATTTTGGCAAGTATTTCCCAATTATAATTAAATTCGGTTCCAGCTACACTCAAGAGTGTTGTGGGGCCACGATGCCACCAATGGTAGTGTATTTGACACCTTTGTTGTAGCCTACCATCTGTTAGGACACAAAAATACTTCATTACAAAGAACAACCCATTTCACTGTAATGAAACTTCACATGACAACTTGGAATTCTAAAGAGGGTAAGGATATGTTTGTAAAGAGAAACAAACTAAAAACTCACAAGCCTGGATTTGTAGACATCCCTAAGAGCTTTACCTCCTTGATTTTGTGTCATATGAGAGAAACAGGGCATTAAGGGCAAAGGGTCCATCCATCCTTCTAACAGTTTTTCAGCTGATACTGAATTTCCTGGAGTGAGGCAAGGGCAGACCAACTTTATCTTGTCTTTGGAGAGAGGTTGCCAAACATAGAGAGTGATGATCTGACTCCAGCAGCTAAGAAGACTTAGTTTTGATTTTGTAAACATAAAAGTTGAGTCTCTGCC